ACGTTTATTTTTTGTTAATCCTCTTTAATCAGTTAATTATCTCGAATTTTCGTCTTCACTCCCAGGATGATGGACCAGAAACTGCCATTTCATCACTTGTATTAAACGTTACGTAGTTTCGATTAAAAATCTCCGACACTCGGTTGATGTCACTCGTACTTTTAGAATGGAGTGATAACCTTTGACAGCAAGGCCCAAACTCCAAAAACAGACGGCGTTATGCTATAAAACACTGATATAACAGACTGGAAGTGAGTAAAATTACATTAAATCTGTATTATTTCATAATCGTTTATATAATGTGATCCGTGACTGTTTTGTATCCGGCGATTATTGATGCTTTTACCGATATTGTACTTTAGCAGAAAACAAAAACTTCGATTTTTAAACTCGCGAACTTTTTATATATTCCCATTTTTTCTTTGTAAAGAAAGTTATCGTCCGTTCAAATTTCGGTGCCATTGTTTCATTTATTGCATTATTGTATGACGCAGTATTGTTCACATTCGAACAAATTTGATTTATTGAAGATGTTGTCTATGCAATCATCAGTTAATTAGCTATTTTATACTAATTCTATATTATTAGCATTCTTTTAAAATTACAAGTTTAATCTGCCATTGTACGTTATCTGATGTTAGTCAGTCAAACATGTCGGGAAAGTAATAAATCTTGGAAGTCGTTTTGAATGCATTTTAAAGAATCGCCATTTTTACTAACGACTAATGCACTAGCCTGTTGTAATTTTGACATTGTTTTAGTTACCAAAAATAATCCCCACAACACCGAAAACGCATTTTTAAAAATAATAAGCTACTTGGTTCATAAGATTTTCTTATCATTAAAACTGTTCGCAAATTCTCAGTGATAAGCACGTGTCATTGCAAATGTAAACAGTTAGATAATATATGCACCGTGTAAAATATGTCATTAAACGATCAATACTTCAGTGTTTACGAGTAAATATAAACATAGCAGTCATTTTCGATTTTATTAAATACTTTGAGACTGCTTCGGGCAACTTATTAAATCCCATATCTTATCAAAAATTTCCCCTGGATTTTTATTGGTGTAAATGTAATTTGGGCTTTTTTGAACGTTTATGTTAAAAAGGAATCCAATTTTATAATATTTTTTAACTGTTAAAGATTATACTGTAGGCTTGCGTTTATTACACAGGAAACGGAACAAAGATTTCAGCACCCTTGTTTACCAGACTCCCAGACGTTTATTTTTGAAATTATTCCGAGATAGAGGCAACCAAGTTTATAAAAAAAATTGAAAGTGCATATTAAAATAAAGTCTTTGTCAGTTTTATACTTGAAGAAACCAACCATTTGAAACAAGATTTTTTTAACTAAATAGAACAGGGTTTAACAGGTTCAAAAGTATCAAATAAATATCTATAATTTAATTCGTATTAGTAAACGATTCTAGCACGACTAGTGGGGAACCAGTACAATATTTTATAGCGAATGCACATGCCATCTAATGGCAGAGAACAAAATTATAAACTTTTACCGCCGCATTAAAATTATGTTTACGACAGTCAAGTGCATAGTTCGCAAATAATTTAAGATAAATTTGTTGTCAGTGAGCAATAAAGACACTGCTATGAATCCAGGAAAGTTATATTTTCAGTAATGCTAATTTAGCAGAAATTAGCCCAAATTCTCCCAGCCCCTTATTTATTGAAAAGCGAAAATGAAGTGTTTTTAAAATATCATACAACTTTCACATTTTGTTGTAATTAAATAAAATACGTAAACAATATAAGAAAAAGCAGAATTATGTAGGCTGTAATTAAGTAGATACTGAAAAAACCGAACTAAGAAATTATATTCACTTTTTTAATGATGGAGTCCGGTTGTTACTACATTACTACAACAACTCACATAAAGTTGTAGAATTATACAGGTCTGTTTTGCTTTTTGTTGTTATATGAAGGTATAAGAGTTTACTTTATTGTAGGTAGTGTATGTTAAAACCCGTCGAATCTATAATTGGAACACGAAATTGTTCAAATTCTGTAAATACCATTGTTGTTAGCTCGATGGGTAAACGCTAATTTAGAACAGTGCATATAAAATGATTTTTGTTCTATTTTATCTACAAGTCTGTTTTTTTGCCGTTATTTTATTTCGTAACGAGAATTTAGTTATAAAACGAGGATACCATAATTATTATTGATTACTAGGTATGGCAAACATACGTCCGACTATTTACAGCTTTTAAATACAGCTGTGCGCAGCTTTATTGACCAATTGGCGTAAATTCTAATGGGGGTAACATGGCTTAATTATGTTTATATTATTATATTTTTCATACTAAAAAAATATGTATAAAATTGGATGCAAAAGGTAAAGCGATTTAACTGAAAATTACCTGAATTAATAAAAACTTGTAATAGCGAGAGATTAAAACTTGGTAAACGACATAATTTTAAGCATAAAGGAACAACTAAAGAACGAAGTTTGAAATTTTTTTATTGATGAAATCAAGAACGATTCACTCCATTTTCTAGAAAATTTGAGAATACAGTGATGTTGTGCTGGCCTATATTTAATAATAATAAAGCACGAATTATCATAATAACAACGTAACAACTTCCCGAAAATAATATTCAAACTTGCTATGTGCTCAATTCTCGCAGTCTTTCGATGTATTAACATAAACAATCGAAGTTAAGCATAAGCATGTAGTAATAATATCTTTTACTTTAACAGTCTACACTATCTTTTTTTTAAGTTAAAGGGGTTGCCATAAAAAATAAATAAAACTCGCAAAATTAAATTTTATTATTTTTCTAAGAAGCTATACCTATTTGTTCGACTATGCTTCAGATGCGAGGGAAGTTTTGTTCAAATACCTTTAGACCAATTTTTAGAACAAACATTCGTAAGACCACTGCTATTGTTGTAATACTAGACGCAAAAAAATCAATTTAATATAGAAAATAGTGAATCAGAGTAACTAGATTTTTATTATGCTTTGATAATGACAAGTATAGTAGAAGTGTAAGTATTACTGCTCTATAAAATTTTAGAGTTCTGCTTAAAAGTGTTGAAATGACGCATATCAAAATAGTTTCTGGTTTAAGCTGAAAACAATAGCGTACGCAGAATTTCTACATCTCAATTCGTTCTCGAGAAATGTGGGCAGGAATTTTTATGTCAGATAGCCTGCATGGCACATCATGTTTATGACATAAGATTTTTTTGAGTTTCTGATGCCTCATTTAATTCTATTTTAATGTTTTCTCGACGTTTTATGACCTACTGAACGAAAACATGGCTCCCATTTCTGTCTATCTGTCGTTTATGTCGATTTTTATTAGGCAGATAGTCTCCGGAACTACTGGACCGATTGTTGTCAAATTTTAGATATATGTTATGAATATCTTATAGATGCTAAAACGCTTATTCAAATTTGTCTAATCATCCTCACCAATAATTTGACGACGTCATCTGCAAATTCTGCACTTGTGGTTTATGAAGGCATGTTGAATTTTTGTCCAAATGTTTGGGGAAAAATCAAAATGGTATAACCTTTTACAATTTAATTTTGAAGTTGCAAAATTTATGCGTTAATGCCTCCTCCTCCACATATTGATGACCTCATCTTACAATTTTGCTGAAATCAAAATATGGCGAGTGTTCATATTTTCACACCTTTGACGTCTCTGTTTTTTCTGCATCTCACAGTTTCGGTATGTACAATGTAATATTAATTAAAATGTTACTTCTTTCCAAAATTTCCAAGACCTCCTTTGATCTAAAGTCTGTTAAGCTCTATTAGTTCTAAAAAAAATTATAAAAACATTTGATTTTGCAAATTTCACTATCTTTTTTTGATTAAAAATAAAAATGGGAGTGAGTTATTAAACAGCACTGTGCCCTCAAAATTTCCGAAAAATCAGAAAAGTTGTTTTGGTATAATCAGTGCATCAATTTTGAGACTTCCTGTATAAATATTGTTGAAAGTATGGGTGCGCATTGCGTCACAAGTGTACATTTTATTGGATATTTTATTTTATAATAAATCTTCGACTTTGATTTTCTACAATATAAAGGCAAATTAATAAACCATAAATATAGATTTTTTCATATAAATGTAATAGGATTGACAAGCAAAAATTTGGGTGACGTCATCCAACTGTTTTTGTGAGTATAAAGAAACAATTTCGGATATTACGCGTCTAATAAAACCACCAACAGACGACAGACAAACGAAAACATTTCTGTATTGATTATTTATCAAACTGCAGATAAAAAATTTAAAGGAGGTTTGTGTTTGGGAGGAGATCGCCAATTCTCTACAGAAAACGAATATTTAAATTTGTTAGTAGTTTACCATTTTTACGACGATTTTAAAGTTTGTTAAAACAGTAGATTTAATTCAGACAGATGTTTTTTCGTATTCTACGAACTGTACAGTAGAAAACAAGTTAAAATTAGGGCCATTAGTGATCTTTGTGTCAATCGTAAAGTAAAAACTTCCACGAAATGCCGACACGTTCTTCCAACAAGGTTGGCCTCATTAGGAAAACAGATGCTCATCACATTTTATAAAGCCTATGTACATCTTGATTTTCTCCTTGTTTTTGCACACCGTTAAATCTCATAGAAATTATCAAGATTTTAAGAGAAAATCTTTTTAAATTAAATGGAAAGCAAACTTCGATACTTCGACATTGTTGTGTATAAATTCTGATGATTTACTTGAACGTGTTCGAATTTTGAGCAAGTGCATTTAAAAAGCACATAAGAAGCGAGTCGTACGTGACGTGCAATGCAATAACCCTCCAGTGTTTTTCTTTCGATAAAGTTATCCCGCAAGCCGTTCCCACTGCGCTTGTTAAAATTCAGTAAATACCGTGCAGCCTTAAAAAAGACATGGGTGGTCCATCTCCGACTCCCGTTCGGCTCAGGTGTCGATCGCACGCCGCTGAACTCACCACCAAGACGTAGCTCCGTTTGCATTGCATTTTTCTGTTTCAGACACCCGCTGTTCCCCCTGCTGGCTCTCATCTTCGAAAAGTGCGAGCTGGCGACGTGTACCCCCCGAGAGCCTGGAGTAGCGGGAGGAGACGTCTGCTCCTCGGAGTCGTTCAACGAAGACATCGCCGTCTTCTCCAAACAGGTAAGCCTCCATCTGCGGCTGTGTGTTTTCGTTATTTGCATTTGATATCCAAACTCTGCCTTATCAGTTTGATTAGCTTATCGCGTTCGATAAACACGAAAACACATGTAAAACATCTCCAGAATTTATATTATACTCGAAATAGCGATAAGACTACACGCATTGAATCGTTTATGTGCTGGCCGAGACCACTACGCACATATTTATTTACCAACAACCTGGCAATTGTGCTCCTCTTCTGCCAGACAAAGAATGATGTACGAAGAGTCGATGGTGACGATTCATCTAATTATCGCTCACGTTCGGCGTACATGTTTACTATTCATAGGAGAATATGGTAATGAAAATAGGAACAAATAACGTACTTTCCATGATTTGTTGCTGTCGTTAAATTTTATTCAGTTTGCTTGTTGTTGATATGAAAATGTCTTGAATTAACACGCCGTGGATAAATTATTTATTACAGCTGCTAACTAATTCCCATATTTATGACATATGATACCTATTATTAAAAATATTATTTAATCATCGCGATATTCCTCTGCCGTACTACAATTTTAGATTATTTATTACATATTATGATCGATAGATTATTTAAATGTTACTTTATCCTCACCGATGTCTATTTGAATTCAATTCAAATTATAGGGCAACTTTTGCATTAATTAACAACCAAGCCCATGCACATGGCAAAATTATCCATGGAGTTTCTTTCACGCCTAAATTATTAATGTTCTTTAGAAAATACAAGAAACTGAATACTTGACTCTTGTCGTTAAAGCAACTAATTTGAATTTCAACGTGTTACATAGTCGGTTATGGCGCCAAAATAGGTTAACGGCAAGGACGATGTCATTACTTTAGTTTTTTTTTTACTAATCGGTGCTGTACTAAAGTTTAGTCTACTCAGTATCGTAGAAAGTTCAGACACATTCTAAGTTTATTGTTATTGCAAATTACGTAATAGTGCCGGCTATATTGATACATTATTAAAAAGAAAACAGTGCTATTTAAGTAGTTGCATGGAAAAAATATTACATTAAATTTCAATTCACTTGAACATTGGTCTTGATTCTTTAATTATGACGGTTCTGAACAATTTAGCAAACAATAATAATTAAAGTGTCAAAATGTAACCAATCGCTATAAATATTAATTCATGTATATATTTTGTTTCAACCAATGGAATCGTATAAAGCGGATCAGTTACACACAAGAAAATAAGAATATACAATTAACTTTTTCGCGTGGCAATCAGTGTAGTATGTGAACAATGGATACATAAACGAATAAATAATGAGTTTTGAAATTGAAAACAAAGTCGATTTTATATAATAATGTACTTCAAACAAAAGTGAAATGTGATTTAATTGTTTAATTAAATTGATGTATTGCCAATTTACACCGTAATATTGTCAACTTCGACTTCACCTTGCCTCACCCTCCCACGTGTTGGCAAAACTGTTGAAATTTGACTTACTAGGTTCGATGATCTAACAAACAGTCCAAGATTTTGATTTATTTTGAAAATGTCAAAAGCGTGAGAGATAATTAATTTTATTTGAACTTTTAACTACAATTCAACAATCAAGGCGGATTCGTAAACCACAAGTACAAGATTATGTTATTTTATAAAATTTTCTGTCAAATTCTAGGGAATAATATTGTATTTAATTTATTGCGACGGAGCAAAATTTCATAGAAATTTTGAAAATGTTTAGGTTAATTCTAAAGCGGATGTTGCTTTAAAATATGCACCAGTTACAGCCTTTGGCGTTAAAAGAGATTATTAATAGGTAATTAACTTTATCCGTATTATTAGTATTATATTTATGCATACCTGTGGGTACGTCTAGAGTTTGATTAATAAATTCTGCATTTAATCATGTAATTGACAGCTCTCAGTTGTAAATACTTGCCACATATTTTGTACAAAAATAAACATTTTCTGTGTTATAGTGTACGATAATAAAACACAAAAAGTCAAATTTCGTTCTCAGTTTTTCACATTTCCAAAAAATGATTCCTAAAATCCTGCTTTATTGCGACTTTTTCATTTATTGTTAATAAACAAACCGTTCCTGTACTCCTCCGTAGCCAAGTTTTGGGAATTTTGATTGCTGCTGTCAAATTAAAAATTTTATTTTTGCACAACCGTAAGTTAAAAATAAACGAAATAATGTATGTTTACGCGTTTCGATGACACCCTGTATAAATATAACCATGCGATGGGTTTTATAAAAGCACTTAAAAATAGTCAACTTGTTAAATAAGTAAAGTTGGCAGTACTATCAACAAGTGTTCATAAAAATCGGAAAGTAACCGCTTCAGTACGCAAGCATACGTAGCATCAAATATTTGCGTTTGTGGTAAATTGCGGCTTTTAAAGTGTCACTGTAATTATTATAAATGTAAGTATTTTATGATGCTGCATACATAATTTTTGCCAAAGCTTTAATAAATTTGCCAAGAGAGATCATGGTGAAACGCTCGAGTTGTAGTTGGAGTCTTTTCTAAATTTCCACAATTATGTAAAAAACAAAATACTGTCTTGTAGTGTTGCTGACCACTAAATATAAAAGATGTTCAACAAATCACTGATAATAGAAAACAATAAATTTCCATGTTATGGAGAGAAAACATGTTATAAAAGCGTTTATTCACACTAAAATCTCCAAATGTGTTAACTCCAAACATGGACTAATTCGACCACGTTTTGTTATTAAATTTATTTTTCCATTTCCACTATCAGTACACGGATCGTAAATAAACCAGCCCATTCATAAACACACTTTTTATACTCCAGCTCTTTTAAAATGTTTGCTTGTATATATAAAAATTAGTCGCTTCCGGTCGACACAAGTAAAAAAATATTATTTTCCATAATCACGTAAAAACTCGCGTCGATCTTAAAACGCCGAGAAATTATCATACCGGTTTTTTGTGATTAATTATTCATCCACCATTATTTATTAAAATTTACCGTGCGTGCAGGCATCAATAATCGGTACCCGTATGGATTGCCGCACATGTGTTTTTATCAATCCGACAGAAACTCAAAGACTGTTGTGATCGTCTTGTAACGGTTCGGGTTGAGTAATTTCGAATAAAGTGCATCTTGACGTGGCAATTTTGTTTGGTAACGTTTACAAACGCTGAAATATTCTTCTCGGGCGTAATTTTGTAGAAGACGTAGTGTGATGTTTTCATGTAGTATAAATTTCGCCAGTTCGACTCTGTTGAGACCGTGCCAACGATATTCTTTTGGACACGGAAGCATTTCGCGTAGATAAATAATGCCGTGGAGGCCCCAGCGTTTAATTCGGTTTGTTTAGTCTTTAAAACACTCACAAATGTGCTCTCGTATAATGTAAACACACTTAATGGCTTAAAACTTTTTGTCTTTACCACAACAACCATGGAATTGTTCGGCTGTTTATGTGTTATTTTGTAATTGCTGAATGAGAAAGTAGAAATCGGGGGTAGGATGTGGGGGCCCGTCATAAAATGATCAAATTTCATTACTTGTCGTGTGGTAAACATGCTCAACCAAATGAACATCGCAGTTTTTATTAAAGTGGAAGTTTTAGTATTGTAGTTACCATTAAGTGCAAGTTTGCCGGGGAAAAATTTTTTTGACAAGGTTTTTCCAACAATTTATTGGGTTTTGTGAGATGGAAACAGTGGTGAAAACTGGGTTCCGAAATTTCCATACATGATTGAGATATTGATTTTTAAATATACCTCAAAAAATATTCACCAAAATTGAAGAAAAAGATGAAAAAAGGAAAAATGTTGCAGTTCCCTAGGTCTCTCCGGGTCAGGATTGGCAAAGCAGCTTGTAAAATAGAGTCCGTCAAATAGCTTTCTGTGTCCAAACGTATTTATTGGAAGCCACCAATAAACCGCTTAGGATTATGGTAATTATGATTTACAACACTGGCTTTCTCTCCGATTGCGGGCTTGAAAGAAACAAAGGTTCTACGAATCAGATCGGCTTGGTCAAAGACGTCCGTTGAAAAACCCTTGATCCTTTGGGACAGGTAACTCAAAAGCAGAAAAGCGTTGTAAATCATGATTATTATAATCTTGAGATCTTTCAACAAACATTTTCAAAAACAAGAAGTCAGTGTTCACAATTTGGCGGACTGGACTTTGCCAAGGGAAGGTGGGGTTGACTTAATCAAGAAAGGCTATATCAAACCGGTATTTGGACCTCTCTCATTTTGCTCTTACGAAGGTTGGTTGGTCTCCCAAAGCAGTTTTTTGCTAGAAGCTATTATTTATTAAATTTGTCTTTGTTCTTTTGAAATTGTTGAAGAAACCCAAGACGAATTTTGTTTCAAAAATCGTTTGAATTTGGGTACGAGACGCCAAAACTTGGTCTTCATGTAAATCTGTGAAAGTAGCCCCATAATTTTGCCATAAAATCTTGAAAAAAGTAAACGGCCGGTGTGAGAGCCCCAAGGATGGAAGCTGGCCTTTCCCCCTTGCATGTAACAGGAAGCAGACCCTTCTTCCCCCCGGTTTAGCAGCTGAAAGTGTAAATTTGCCTAACTGTATTTATTTATTCCTCCATTATAATTCGTTAAAGCGTACACATTCAAATTCATACCCTCCGATTTATCCGACGGGTGCGTACAAACAAAACCAGAGACGGAGCTGGGGTGGCCCTAATTATAAAGTCAAAATCCCATCATTGCCGGATAGGGGTCGATTAAACTGGGAAAAAAATTAGCGCAAACGTAAAAGTAACATCAAACGGCGTTTCGTTGCGTAAAATGTACGCTCGGATCGTGAAAGCGGCGTAAAACGAGCCCGTAATGGTTATGGTCTCCCCAGCCTTCTTGAGCGCCCTTCGAAGGGTCTGCCTAAGTGATTCACGAGATAATGCGCACGGTGCTGCACCATTATTATTTATCATTGGTCGATTTGTTTATGGGACCGCAAAAGGGTTCTTGTCGATCTCTCGCCAAAAGTTACAACAACAAAGGGAGCTC